TTACTTTGCGGAAACCTAGCCAGAGAAGGGGGCATCACATACAATGATACGCCAGTTATTTAAAATATATTTGCCTATCCTAAAAACCGGCTACGATCGTATGAATGTTATATGAAGATCCATATTGAATTGACTATCTCTGTCTTTAATCTGTTTCAGTATGCATGCCAGCCTACTCAATGACAACCAAACTTCTAATGGCAGCATGTGGTGCACAGGGCGCAATTCTTGGTGGAGCTCTCATGATCTATATCTGTAAAAAACTTGGAGGGTAACTTTCCTGATTCTAACTCACATGCCTCATGAATAACTGATGAATTAATGTGAGAAGATTATAATGTCATATTTCTGAATTGAAGTTTCCTGACTGACTTGATAAAAGTGGATACTTTGGGATCACGATGTAGATGATGTGGTGACAAAACAATACCCATTAATTGTATTGGAAATACCCCCGGGTTAGAATTGATCTTCAGTAACCCATGCTTGTCATAGGAGACGACTAACGGGATCGGGTGGTCGGGCTCTCTGACTTGGTTGGCACATTCCATCGTATCCCAATTACGTAGATCGATGTCCATGCGGTTGATCACTGGATTGTCTGGTCTAGACTCGATTATTTAAAGACCCTCGCCATATAGCGGGAATATTGCTGAGTGCGGCGTAAAGCTAAACTCACTAACTTACTCACCCACTGTATTGGAAATAGACGTAGACATATATTTGTTGCAGAGAAAAGAAATCTACAGTGGTGCCAGTTAGAAAGGATCCTGTTGGCTGTGCTGAAGGTTTTTATTCAAACTCCTTTTCGTATGTGGTTGAAGCACCACCTAAGAAATGATTAACACTAAAGCAACACAACATTACACAATTTGACAAATTCCTAAAAAAAGTCTTTTCTAGAAAAACGAATTACAGGAACTGTTCAACTGTCAAACAATCTGCTCTCTTTACAGTGCGTGCGACAAAGGAGCTATCAAGAAAGAATCCCCAACCGCTGAAGAACCCGAACGGGGAGAGTAATCCTAAACAGTTGAAAGAAGATACGCTGTTTAAAGAGGATGACACGGATATGATTGTTGATCTGGAGTCTAAGGAACAGGATGACCAGGTTGGTGAAGTTGCCACACATATATGTAGGGATGAAGGGGATCCGTTGATTGAAACGGGAGGGGATGAGATGGATGAAGCCAATGATGAGTTAAAAGATGACAAAGATGCTACGAACGATGCAATGCTAGAAGACGAGGAGGTTTTTGGTATGGAAGAGGAAGACAAACAACCTACTGCAGGGAGTGATATAGCAGAGGAAGCTGAATTGGGGGATGTAACAGAGGACACGCTTGAAGGGGTTCAAAGTAATATAGATGATCACAAGATGGACAAGGACAGAGTGCGGTCTGAACCGTCTGGTCTTTCTAGTGGCGTTGAAGAAGAAGAAAAGGAAGTAAGCATAGATGATGACAGGCTGGTTGAAGGTGATAGCCTCACGTCACTTAGAGAAACTGTAGATGAGGTAAGAGTTGAGCCATGTTTGGATAACGATGATAACATATATAATAAGCCTGGTAGTGAAAAACTGAACACTGAAACTCGTTTGGGAGAAGGTTCTGAATCTGAAGCAAGATTTGTATCAGAGGACATAGACACTCGGGAGCTTCTGACCACAGAACTCCATCCTCAAGTAATTACAGATGAAACTCATCCTGAAATGTCTGAAGGTAAGGAGAATATAACAGTGCCCGAAAACTCAGAAGCGAGTGATGAAGACAATGAGGAAATAGAGGAAGGTGAAGACGCAACAGATACTGATGAAGCGGACGAAAAGGAGGATGAGGGTGATGAAGGTGTTGAAGTTACAACAGGGGAGTGCGGAGAGGCGACCGTCGTGGGAGAGGGAGGGGAAGTGGTGAAAAAACGCAAAAAATATAAAAAGGTTAAAACGGAAAAGACAAAAAAAGAAAAGAAACCTAAACTCCGAAAAATAGACTTCACCCAATCCCCATACAATTTTCAGTCAAAAGAATGATAATTTCTTTTTCAAAGTTTACGTCACACACTATCCATGTTTCATATACAGACATGTAGGGGACACATGCTTTACAACATGTAACAATATGAAATATTGTGCTTTTCAAAGACAATGGAAATTCACATGAACTTTAATTTGACAGACATCTGCATCTATTTGTCCAATTGCTAAGAGAAGTATGTGACACATGTTTATGAAGACATTCATCTCGATCATTTGTGTCTGGAAATCCAAGTAATATTAACTGTAAAACTTGCCGGGCAGTATAAAATATAAACTTAAAAATTGGATTTGACCTGAATCGTAATGAAAACATTATTACGCTGAAAACACTCACTGCAAACTTAAGGTCCAACGAAAATCATGGTCCTCTATCAAATACATTACCATTGAATAACTGTTTCTTGTTTTGCTTCATTCTTAGCCACCTGTAAACATGGATGTCTACCTTCTTTTGCCTTGCAGTTATAAGTTGTACTCAGCGTCATTATTGACGGGTCAAGCAGGTAATAAGAAATTTGAGTATTCCGAAAACGTTGTCAGCCGCAAAGAAGGCAGGTTAATTTTATCCTTAGTGGACAATGTTATTCCCAAACAGAACGTTACGTGACCCGTATTACACTGGCATGGCCAAAACCACTGTTTCATTTTCAGGGTATTTTGGGTAGCTTTCCCAGTCATCATTAATCTCGGACATTGTCCATATTTCAGTTTTTAAAAAAAACCCAGACATGGAACTGGCATGAGAACACGTTGTTGAGCTGATGTTCACATAGTCAGATATATCAACGCTTATGGGCAGATATTCATGTTTTTGACACGCAACGTATCTTGATGACCCTTCATTGACGCCGTTGAGTACATATAAACTTAAAGAATGACTTAAACGTTTACCTGTATGAACTTCTGAATGTACTAGTTTCTTACTTTCGTTATAATGACTGTTGCTCATCCTTCCACTCGGTCTTTCAGAAAGAAGTATAGAATAGTGTTGCGCGGTGCGATGCGGGGCTAGCAAGACCATGATGCCTGTGCGGTGATGCAAGATGCTCAAGGTGTATCAGCTCCAGATGTTGGTCCTCTGACTGGAACCATTGACATATTAGTAACATCCTCATATGACCATGGTTGGCTGCAGTGGTTGTAATGCTATGCTGGCCTGCAGTTGGCGTTATCAAGACAATTCATACAATCAAACAAATGAAATTAAATACAATTTTAATCCTGGCCATCTAAGATTATCATGTTGCTGTGTTCATTGAATGGACACGTTTCCTTGTTTGTGGAGCACTCAGCTGATGTTCGCATTCTGGTAATGGATGATCTTTGACTCTGCTGATGTGCTGTTTTTTCAGTGTTGTTCAAATGTTCGACATTCTGTTAAGTACAACGGATAACATTTTCTCGTCTTTATACGTATGTTGTTTAGAAATCAATAAAACTGTGTTGGTATCATTACATCTTGCATTTTAATGAACAATAAAATTTGATCTTGACACAACAATAAATTTCATTATACGGGAGAATATGATTTTTTGCTTATTTCGTCAAATACTGTAATACAATATCAACGGATGGCTACACAATCCATACACAGATCAAGATTTGGTCATTAAACACAAAACAGTCTCCATGTAGCTTTGAAGTTAAATTCAATTCACATCAGTTCGTCTGTTAATACATGAAAACTCATACTGGAGTAATGCATATTGCTGAATCTGGCAAATGTAAACAATTGGTGCTCTCCGGTAATGTATCCTGGAAATGCGTGGTTCATTGTATGTATGTATGCGCGCGCGCACGCACACACACACTCACACACACGCATAATCGTACAGCTCACATAGGAATAAAATGATTTACAAGTTTAAAGAACACGGAAACCATGCGTCTTCCACAACATGAGACAATTCATAAACATATTTGTACCGATAATGACATAGTAATAATAATTATGACGAGTAATCGAAAATATATATAAAGGCACAACAGCTGTTTCATGTCAGTTTTATTGATTCAGTAACCCAATAGCCTGTACTAGTGTATAGTAGATATAGTATTCTTGCAGCAACATCCTGACTAGTATGGGCTGTGCTGTGTTGCGCCTGAAGTGCGTGCCAGCTCTGTTCGACCGGCCGTTTGTCACCCATCGGTTTGAAGCGTGAAAATAGAACCATGTTTCTTAAACAACTTGTTCCGTGATCGATCATGAAACGTCAGAATTCAGATCCTGTTGGGTACAGAGGTTTCAGGACCATGTGTCTCATGTATTTTTTGTGCAATTTCGAGTTATTTAATCATTCATCGTTCTCGTTTAAACCCAACGGACTGTAGTGTTGGGTAGATATAGTATTCAAGCAGCAACATCTCGTCAGGAGTGACGTAGTGGCAGGATATGGCGTAGTCGGATATACTCTTGGTATCCCGAAACATATACCATGACTAAGGGAACGAACATTATAAATTGTTTATAAGAATGAAAACAAAACATTTCCTAAGGTTTTACACAAAGATGTTACCTGTAATTGCTGATAATCTTAACACATATTTGTCGATTTAACATCCGAGAACGAGTGGTTAGAATATTTACTCAGCATTTTCATCGACACTATAGCAGAGTATATGTCACCAGAATAACGCCTATCGTTACTTCAGAGTAGGAAAACTTCATTCAAGCTGTCTCGACACACACTCCATTTTCACCACCGACATGTGCGTTGATATTTCGCGTTAGGACACTACTGTCACGAAATCGTGCACACAATACATGGAACTGAACGACCACATTAATTCAGTATCGTCAGAGTCTGTATTTTATCAAATATGATGTATATTTCGATGATATAGTATGATGTATATTTCGATGATATAGTATGATGTATGTTTCGATGATATAGGTCCACTGTCTGCTGTAAATTAACTGAACGCCCAGTATAATAACTACTAAATGGTTACTCCAATGCCTATTTGGCACCATTGGCATCATATACGAAATGTAAACCTGGAGTTCCACGAAATAGATTTATCCAGGAGCGAAAACAATGGAATCTGCTCCTCCCGAGGCGTCTGTTGTGTTGACTGTCCTCACCCCCAGGTTCTCCATACATCTGCCGAACGCTACATCTTCTCCAGCACCATCAGGCCTGCACAGTTTGGGATCGTGTCCCTTCTCCCCATATCTCCTCAACGCCTCCTTACTCAGCACATATCCCGCGCCGCCACTGTAGAATCCTTGTTTGACAATTGACTTGAAATGATGGCCAAAGAATACAGGTTCGGATTTGTTTTGGGACGTCAGAAAGTATCGGAGATTTTCTAAAATAATATATGTATCATCGTCAGCTTTCATGAACCAGTCAGCATCATCAAAGTGGTTTTCGTAGATGTAGCGGAAAGCCTGCATTGTTTTGGCAGTTAAGTATTCCCGGCTGACGTCAACTCGTACTCCTTCTATTGGGAATTGGGAATCGGTCTCTGAACTGATGAAGATCACCTTGGTACAGTGTCTGGCCCACGTGTTAATGACAACACGCGCCTTCGTGCTCAGGCTCCCACGTGACGTCATCACCAAGCACAATGCGCGCTCCTTCTCCTGTTTGAGAAGACCGAGACTGTAATCTAAGCGTCCATAATTCTCATCAGCATTCGGTTGGAGCTTCCTCACATTGATCAGCACAAACGTTACAACCATGCAGATCAAGACTCCAATCCAAAGCCGGGGTTCTCCAAGAACGGCGACACGCGACATTTTTGCCTTTCTCCGGGAATGGCAATCACATATATAACATTGGTATGTCGCTACAAACTATGTCATGCGTGTTATTCATTTCATTATCAGCCCTCAGTTGATTATAGGAACTGAACTGTTGAATACAGATGAAAGAGTTGAGCCATATCTAATTGTTGGTAATATATTCATGTCACAACGCTGCCTGCTGTTACATTGCTAACTGACATATTTCTTTTACTTTCAAACATAATTCATTCTGTTTCCTACTTGTAAACCAAACCGTCCCTTAACGACTGTGTACCATCTTATCTAAACAAATGTGTAGGGCCCTTGTCTGAACGGATGGAGCTCCGGTAAGAAGGACAATTCTTGCATGAGCTGTCGTCTGCTTTGTCACCCCTCAGTTTGTAAATGGGTGGTGTTTCGAGCGTGTAAAGGTCGGAGCTCCGGTAACGAATGCAATTCTTTTATATAAGCTTTTCAATTTATCTTTTAAATAATCGAGTCTGAACCAGACAATCCAGTGATCAACAGTATGAGCATCGATCTGCACAATTGGGATACGATGACATGTGTCAACCAAGCCAACGAGTCTGACCACCCGATTCCGTTAGTCGTCTCTTACGACAAGCATGGGTTGCTGGAGATCATTTTGACCAGTGGATGTACTTCTCATACAAACGATCAAGGATTTCTCATGATGTGAGAACTACTGGTAGGAAGTATGAGACACGAACCGAGTCATTGTGATAGATTACGTCCCTTTGTCGTGGAACGATTTGCTGGTTGTTGGTTTTGCATCCTCGATTGGCGCCGATTATCAACGCCGCACTCAGCAATATACCCGCTATATCACGGCGGTCTGTACACAATAGAGACTAGACCAGACAATCCAGCGATCAACAGCATAAGCATCGATCTACGCAACTGGGATATGATGAGATGGGTCAGCGCCCCTGACCATCGGATCCCATCAGTCACCTCTCATGGCAAATACCGCAGATCCATTTACTGCAAAACTGTCCTTCAGGGTCTCTGGCTAAACAATATATTGATACATTTATTTACAATAATTGAATTCCAACATTAACCAGTGGTCCGAAGTTTTGTTAGTCTCTGCATGTTATCAATTTTGTAACAGTGTTCCAATTTGTTCTTCTCAGTGAGAGGCAGTGGAGTGCTGTATTTAGACTGGTGCTACAACCTTAAAGTAAATCCAGACACAGGCACAGTGGTGAAACGTAAATAAACTACGTGTACATGTCTGTCTGACTGTCCATAACAATGTCCCGAACTGATGGTAAGACGGTCAACAGCTAACCTATTACGACCCTTCGTAATACATTTCTTGGTCTGGATTCTATTTGGCAATGGGTCGTTTTTCTATACAGTTGATTCACGTAGTAATCTTAATGATTCTAGCGTTGAAGAAAAAGGAGTACAGAGAAAATCCCGCTATCCATGTCCGACGTGCAGCAGCTCTTCTACTTCTACCAGCTGACGAGGTTCAAGACGCATGGACAGAAGTTATGAACCGAGGTCCAAATGGCGAGAAGCTCACAGCCTTCAATAGCTATGTGACACAGACCTGGGAAGAATATGATGCCCGCTTCCGTCTTCAGTTGTGGAACCAGCATGATAACTTAGAACCATGATCCAACAATCACCTGGAGGGTTTCCTTAGTGGATTGAAGATTCAGCTCAAGAAGGCCCACCCTAACATGTATGAAGTTATACAAGCAATTAAGAAGAAAGAAATGACAGAAGACAGGCGTAGCAAGTCAATTGTTTTCGTGTAAGCCCGAAGATTGCAAAGCTTTACATTCAGATATAGTCCGTTTGGCTCAAAATCGGACAGATGAATTGCAATCTAACTCGAAAATTACTAAACATATAATTCTCAATGAAACACTGATCATGATCGAAACATCAGACCAACTCTGTGTTCATTCGTCGACTGCATTTTACTACTCTGAAATTAGAACTTCGACTACTTGGTATGCGGCCCTGTGGATGGGGCAGTAATGGGCAAACCAGAGCTGGCAACCTTACTGTGCTGTAGCTAACTCACTGTAGCTCTATTGGCTGTAGGTATTGTTATTATTCCACATTTGTCTCCAGTCTATAAATAAAACGCAATGGGGAAGTTACCCTGGATATTTTGTGTCTTAAGATGGCCCCGACTGGGAATTATCTTGCACTTCTATATTTAATTTAACTGGGTCGATGTTTGTCTGGTTGACTGATCCATGAAGTCCAAAGATTCATCATGAGCTAAGTAGCATAGTTAAGAATGCTGAGTCAACTACAAAAGAAATAATTTTAGGGTAATTTGGAACAGAAGTAGGGACTGATTGCGCCCAACACATTAATTGCTGTTGAACTATCATTAATATAACAGGCATACTGCACCAAAAGGTTATTTTTACCATGTATAAAAATGTACTCACTGTATTCAGATATTATGATGAAATGATGCTCTGCTTTAATGAAGTAAAACACCAAGAAACTAAGTTTTGTTTTGGAAAAGAAACAACTTATGTAAGTTATACAATTGTTTCAGATGGGAAAATGTACGTGCAAGCTGAATGAAAACAGAACCTGGTAATAAGCTGCACATAGGGGGTTGTAACGCGAAACACAGGGATCAAGGTACAGGTACACATCTTAAGCAGGGAGGTAAATATATTGGCTTGAAACGTGTGCAAATTGTGATGGGGTATATACATTCGTGACCAACTTATGTTATTCCGGGACAAGCCGAATAGCGATTCGTGTCCCTCTGGAAGTATTTCATATTGGCGTAGGCACATCAGAACTGTTATACGGTAAAAATGCATCCCTAAAACAATGAGAGAATTACATCAGATTCCGTATTTAGATTTGCAGTTTGGCTCATGAGTTATAACGGGTAGGCATGGTATGGAGACGGAAAGTTTTCATAGAATGGCGTTTAGCCGTAGGCTATGGAAAGAGAGACAGAACACATTTGTTGTAAAAGACATTGATAACAGATTAATCTTATATTGAAACAAACAAAAAGGGGAGAGTGACCGAACGATTCTTACCGGTACTTTTCCAATCGTAATATTCATGAGTACAAGGTCGGATACAGGCTAAACGAATCAAACGATTAGTTGAAACATGTGATCAAGATCAGGCCAGGCTCGAACCATATAAAAAGACGGGTTGAGCACTGAGCGAGTGGTGCGCGCTTTTTAGTGACGGAAGCCAGTCCACGCCACTCAGTTGCCCCGCGTGGAACGAACCTGCCCTGTCTGATGTTGAAGCTGTAGTTAGAGAGATGGACTGAGACAGAGTAAAACTATGTGAGTATAAACTTGGTGTTGCGTTTATCTTTGAATGTATGTGTGCCAGTACATAAATGTTATGTGGTTAGTTAGGAGTCACGGTCGTCCGACCCCTAACTCCTTGACTTAGCAGCCTGCAACGGACCAAGCGAGCGGAGAGCCAGAGCTACCATCTCCCCGAACAATGTGGAACGACCATAATTAATAGGTAACTGTGGTAGGGTTTACTGAAGCCCAATCGCCAGTTACGACAGAACTACTTCAAACAAGAACAACAACTCAATTCCAACAGTAATAAACATTACAGAAGCACTCGAAAATTGCTGCTTTAAAAGAATTTGAAAGATTTTAACTTGTTAATAAATAAATAATAATAATGATGGTGATTTGAGTTCTATCATGAATTAGTGTACATTGTGTCTACCAGTGGTCTGAACTTGCATGTAACCTTCTTATGATGAGCAAGCTGGCAAAATATGAAGGACCCCAGAAACATCAAACTAAAATATGCCCGATGAAGAGAAATGTAAGCACAGTGATTAAGTTTAAAGTTTGATTAGTTATATATTGTTTTGCAACACATGGCTATTTATAATTATATTAACTTAAAATGCCAGAAGCGCACGAAGATTATCCAATACATGCCCGGAAATCGTCCGAGAAAACACTCGATTGAAAATAGGAGAGCCGTTGTGTAAACAAACGCATGTGGGTGTATTTGAACCTCTCACCGACCATGGCATTATCCTTATAAAAAATTCACATGAGGCGACAAAATTCTGTTAGCTGGGTTCTTTGAACTTTCAATATGACGATATATATTTTTCATGATTTTCTAAACAATAACCGATTTAAATATTCGGGGTTAGTTTTATCAAAGCACACAATCATTACGCGCGTTCTGATTGGTTTGTCGTATTTTCGCACATAACAAGCATCGAGACGGGGACGAGTCTTCTTTGAGGTTACGGAATGAGGCGAGTGGTAACGAATGGGGGTACATACAGGGAACATTGTTGGATTCGAAGTGAAACGAACTTGGTATATTAACATCGTTACATCCCTTTCCTTTTGTATAGGGCTACGGCCCCGTCAGTGACAATATATTCCTTGATGTCCGTTTCTTGCGTTGCAAGCGCCTGAGAGGCTGTATAGCTATGCGAGGATCTGGACAGCTGCCGGTTGAATTGAGTCATGTTACAGTCACGTGAACTAATCTAGTTAAATATGGATTCCTGCAAGTGCTGATCGAGGCATTAGTCTAGCCGAGTGATATTTTAGTCCCGAAAGTAGTTGTGCTCTCTGTACACAAACAGTGTACATAATCCAACAGCTCAGCCTATTCCACAGGTACGCTGAACCTCTTGAGTTCAGAATGTCCTACGTACGTTGGTTGATGTGTTGGTTTCTGGACAATATACCATACGGTCGTAAGTGGTAGGTGTAGAACTCCATTGTGTACATCTGCACTGGCGACACGTAGTGGAAAGATATGGCATAGTCGGAGATGCTCTCTGTGCCCTGAAATAAAAGTTAAAATAAATACTGAAAATTATTGCTATTGAAATTGAATATTTAAAATTAATTTTGAGCCCTGGCAATTTTGCGGTAACATCTTCAGCACTGTGGGTACCTTGGTGACTTTTTTGCAGATATTCTAAGCACTCGTTTTTGAGCTATGAATGGAACAAGATACGGCGGAACAATAAATGATAA